CAACCTATAGACCAAAAGCACAGTTGGTAAACACTCAAACAGACACTCATACACATGTCCGACGTAAGAATTGAATACGTATATGGGCTGGGAAAGGAAGCTACTAAACCTAGGCATTCCAATTTATGGGAAAGAGGTGAACTGTAATTGTCCATTGGCATGCACTTACAGGTTATTTATATACTTTGACAAATACGAGTTTATTCATCAATAAATAAATGGTAAACTAATTCACTGCGGGAAGTTGGTTGGGGCATTTTTTATGCTCGCTATCCCAAAGACTTGTAAAACAGAGTTGGTTGGCTTGAACGTAGTTTTTGTACTGTTTTGTCCTCGTGTATGACGATGCGATAAAGGACCAAACCCAACCGTGCACAGTGAGCACCAGCCTTAATTAGAAATGCCATGTCACCTTAAATGTTTCTGATGTGAACCCAGGTATATCATCGTCTATGAAAAGGCTGTAAGCTAGTTTTGATCGAGGAAGTCGAGTGTTTGTGATTATATGAGGTGCTCCTTAACAGAATACCGATGACCTCTGGCCTCCTTAAATGTGAAAATGATGGATCATACTTGTGTGTGGACTAGCGTTTGATTGCCTTCTCAACCTGTGTAAAATCTTGATGGATGTTGAGGAGAGCAGGTTGTGTATGACATGAATAAACAAGTCATTGCGCTCAATGCCGATATCAGGTGGTCGACAGTCGACTACCGCGTGCAAGAGAGCAAAGAAAATGAGGCCGTTTCTAGAGATTCTAGGATAACCAACGCATTCATCAGTAAGATAAATTCGACAAGCTTCAACTTATAACTATGTGCTTAATGACTTGTCTTGGAACTGTTTTCAACTGGCTAGTTAACTCGGACGTCTTGTTCAGTACTGTTTGTGTGTTTGTGTGTGTGAGCAACCTGCTCACCTCCAGTTTATTGTCTTTTTAGCTCTGCCAACTGACGCATTAACCGGACACAACATCAGTGATGTGTGAAGTGACTGGTGAGTATGGGTATTACCTCTCAGTCGATGAGTGAATGATTCCCCCGTCTCTGAAGGGTGATGGTCTAGGCTAAGGGCAGGCCTGTTCCCTCACTCTTCTGAGAGTTAAGGATTGTGTGCGTATGCACTGCCAGGCCTCAGCAAACCATGGTCCCGCGGCCTGATGTGTGTTGGCAGTTTCCTGTGATCTGGTTCCCTGCCGGTGTATGCGCTTGCGCCCTCA